TGGCAAATACAATTTGCCGCATTTTGGATTTCTTCAATATATAAAGATCGCTTTTCATTGAACTCGTCCCTAAAAGATGGAGTAATATCATAGATATATATAGATATATTAATAAATACTTATATGATTAGATAGAAGTAGATAAAAATAAATAAAAGTATATTAATTTCATAATATCTTTTAGAAATGCTTTCTAGAAGCTTCACAGATACTGCTTTGATTTTAATTGTGTTTGTAGTTGATTAGTAGGTTAGAAACTTGGTCAACAAGTCAACTACATGTTGATAGCTTGCAGAACAAACTAACTATATGGCACACATATAGAAAACTTGCCTTGCAAATTAAGATACGTGTCTTGCAAAGTCAACACGTTTTTGGAGGTCCTATAGGACATTGTCATGTAGCTCCTATTTAAGAGTATATATAGAAGCAAGAGTGAAGCCTTCTTCACTCTTTTCAATGCCTTCTTAGTCCTTAGTCTTATTTTAAGCCTTTCTAGTCTTCTTATTTTTGGCAATAGTCATTCTAGTTTAATATTATATCACCTTTAAGTGACTTTTTAATTCTCTTCAGTGATAGAAAAGTGTATTGAGGATTTTCTTTTATTGAGATTCATATCCTTGATACTTTTCAAAACTAATAGATTCTTTAAAATCATAGAAATCCTTATTAATCTTCAAAATTCAATTTTTTAAATTTAATATTCTTTAATTTGAATGTTCTTTAAGTTAAATGTTAGCTTAAGTTCAAATTTATAATATACACCCAACATAATTAAATTCACAAATTTAAAAAAAAAAATTCTATAAATTTGGTAAAAAATCTATATAATTTTTTAAAATATAAATCCTTTATTGAATTTATAAATAAATTGATGAATTTAAAATAACCTTGATTTTATAAAGATCTTGCAAAATCATTATCTTCTAAAAGATCTCAAGATTAATACTCAGAGAAATATTATCTAATATATTTTTTTTAAATCTATCCTCTAATCAATTGAAAAAATCTTTACTTATTATAGGTATATAATTTGGTTTTTTGGAGTTTTTTTTCTACTCTAATTCACAAGTGATCATCTTTGAGTATTAATTTAAGATTTTTCTAAAAAAAAATCTAAAAGGTGTTCCTTACTTATATCCAAAAATATCCATAATATTATTTTTCCTAATCTACCTTTTTTGTCTTCTTTACAATCTCACAAAATAAGTAGAAGTCATTTTTATTTTTAATTAATGTAGTATAAGTAGAAGTCATTTTCAGATATTACTTATATGTAAAATTAATGTACTATAAGTAGAATTCATTTTTATCATATATATATATATATATATATATATATATATTAGCATTAAATATTTTACTACTTTTCAAATGTCAATAATGCCTTAAATATTATTTATAGCAATCTTAGGTATCACATCTAGTTTTTGGCCATTAAAAAAGAATATTATGTTTGTTTTAATTAATGATAATTAATGTACAAAAAAAAAAAATGATTGGTATTATATTATACCACAAATATTTGGTAAAAAATTAAATATTAAAAAAATACATATTTAAAACATAGTTAAAAAATAAATAGAAATTTGATTAAAAATCATAGATAATATATTAGAGAAAGTATGTAATTTTATGATTATATACGATTAATTTAAATTAAAAAAATACTTGCATTGTGGTTCTATATATAAGATATGATATAGTAGAATAGACATAATATCACTACAAATTCCTTAGGATGAAACATAAGAGTGATTTCTAGAAAATGTTTTTGGAAAAAAGATTAGATTAATACTCAAAGAAGACACTTAATAAAACAAGATCAAAATCAGATCTTAAGGAACAAAAACAAGCACCTATAGCATATGAGTTCTTTTCTTGACTAGAAAGTGACAATAGAAAAGAGGCATTAGAAAGGCTCAATAAATATTATATTTGTATACATCTAATATGTTAGATTTGTAAGAACTAATCAAAGTTAAGGTTTTGTTTTGATGACATTGATTTTATAAAATAAATTGGTATTTATATTTTTGGCAATATTGTAATTTTTTTAATAAATCCACAATCAGATTTTTGTAAGTTTGTGGAAGTACTTGATTTTATTGTATGCTTTAATTTTTAGATCATTTTGTTAAGTAGACTTAAGATCGTTTTAATTTATGTGTGTTAACATACTTTAAAAAAATCTTCGTAGTTGGTATTTTGAAGATCAATAAACATATGAGCAATTTACAAATATCCATTAGATGTAGACTAAAAGCAAGATTGATACCAATTTCTAGGACATAACAATGGAGATCTTAATGCTAGGAGTTTAATAATAAAGTTTAAAAAATAATTTATTTAATACTTAAATCTTTTTTCTCAATTTATAAGTTCAAATCTTCTTAAATTTCTTAAATGTATTGTTTACAAAAACATTAAAACATATAAAACTTAAAAATAAAAAAAAAAACAAAACAAAACAAAACAAAAAAATAACAATAACAACAATTAATTAAACAATTATAAGGCTTTGAAGTTGTTATTTGGTACTTAGGATTTTATTAAGTTTTAGTATAATTTGATCAGAGTTTAGTTAAAATTTTTAAAGATTTATTAGGGAATTATTAATGGGTTTTTAAATTTCATTGCATTTAATTAAAGTATACTTAGATTTTCTTTAGATTTCAATAAGATTTGCTTAAAATGTTTTCAAAATCTATTTAGGATTTTATTAGAATTTGATACAAGTATTTTAAGATTAATTTAGAATTATTTTATGATTTGGTAGAATTTTTTTAAGATTTATTTAGAATTTATATGGAATTTGATAAAGATTTAATAGGATATACTTAAGGTTTTTCTAGGAATGATAAAATATATTTAGGATTTTTTGGAATATATTTTAGATTTTTTTAGATTTTTTTTTAGGACTTGCTTAGGATTTTATTCAGATTCTTTATAGTATTTTGTATTTATAATTTAGAGTTGATAAAATTAAAATTAAATTAAATTTGGAATTTCTTCAAGAATCATGTGTTTCTAAATACTTCATTTATTTTTGAATTATGAGAAGAACTTTAGAATTTAGATAATCTCTTTCTATGGTAAAATGCATTATACATTCACAAGCCAAATTTTATATAACAAAATACTAGTGTAGCTCATCAATACCAAATTGTAGTATTAACGGTCCAAACTGATAGCAATACAATAACAAATTGGAACCTTGGAAGTCAAACAGCATTACAACATGACTAATATTAGTCTGCTCTTAATAAAATTTAAGACATTACTCCTCTTTTAGGCAACAAGTTCTTCAAGAGATTGGGAAATTACTTCATAAGTTGATAAATTCAAAGATCCATTGGATAGTGTTAGTAACAAATTCTGATTTTTGTTCCACATGAAGGTGGTTGATAGATCCTTTCACCTATCAAAAATGTCTTATATCACAGTAAGAAGACATGTTCTATTAAGACCATAATAAGAATAGCATTAATGAGAGTAAAAATGGCTTCAATCATGTCTCTATATATATTAGCTACCAAGAAGATTTTGGTGAAAATTTCTTAAAGATCATGAAGCTTATAATCCAAATTATAGATTATTTATAGTGCATTTTTTAAAAAATAAGAAACATGTGGAACAAGGTTTAATAGCCATTTAGCTTATCTTAAAGAATCTGAAGATCTAATCTACATCTAGAAATCTTCCTCAAAATTTCTTGAGAAAGATAATAACTAAGTAATATGTTTCAAGCTACTATTTATTTCTATGAATTTTGGTGATATATACATTTATTACAAATTGAATAGTATGAAAAATAAGTTGTTTTCTATTATATTTTATGTTGTGAATCTAAAAATAAAGATCTGTTCAACATGTTCAATTTCTAGAGTAGTTTTTATAGATCCATGAAACCATAAGTTCTAACAATGTATATTGATTACCTCCACAATGGTTCGTGGAGGTAAACCTCTGGCGGTTTGGAAGACCGACGAAGCGGGTGCGCCATTCCAGGACAGAAAGCCGTGATTTCACACGTTGGAATAGTGATGCGTAGAGCGAACCTCTTTCGATGTATTCGTGGACGAAATGTTAAGGTATCAGCCGCTTCTCAAGCTCAATTTTCCCACCTTGAATTTATGTCCACAATTAAGTACATCAGTAACAAAGTTGTCTGAACTCAACATTCCGACGTGCTTCTTGATGTCCAACTAATTTAGGTTTTGGGTAGCTGGAGTCTGTCCATCAATCAGGTTTTTAGGATGCCGACTCGGGATCTATATTCCACAACTATGCAAAGAACAGCTCCATCAACTGCCAATCGCAAGCCATATCCGCATCACGTCAATGCAACTCTGCAACAACCAACACCCTCTTCTGCTCCGTCTCATCCATCATATCATCCCTCCCCTCTGATCGTGTCCACCACAAAACACGATACAAAACGGAGACAGACACATTCATTTACACATCCTTCGCATCAATCCATCCGTTCACTCCTTTGCAATCACAACAAGCTCCACACTCCTTATGCCCTCCACACCTACATATCTCTAGATATTCTTCGTCACTCCCACACGCTCATGCAACCGATCTGCGCTTAACTTTCCTACTGCCAGGCGGAAATTCATCTACATATCGCGCCCATTCTCATTCTCACTCTCCCCCGTGCACTGTCAGTGATTCGTCCGTCCTTTTCTGGACCATATTCCAGTACCGGTCTGCATCAACATCTCCGAACCCGAGCATACCGCCTCCCCGACTCACTGCCCACTAGCTGACCAACCCTTGCTACCACCGCAACAATGCCTGCTGCCCACCATCCATACCATACAAAAATTCACGCACCCCGATCCACATGCTTCGTGCTCTCACTCCCACCCATTAAAGAATCCATACAACCTCATCGTTGAACTACGCATATCACAGCTACAAACCACTCCCATCCACGCCTCCCACATCCACTCAAATCCCACACACACCACCTCAACCTCCACATCTCATGTGTAAAATGCTGTAAATTACATAGGCAACCCAGACTTCGCCATCAATGTCCACACAACCTCCTTAACTTAACTTCGGCACACGCCATGCCATCCTACCCATCGCCACACACCTTCCTTCAAATCATATCACATCATCCCTTCGATGATCCCTCTCTTCCTGCACGCTTCCACACGCGCTGCGCCGCAAGTCTCCGGCCACCCACTCTCGACGGGCACTGCACCCCATCTCATCCGAGCGACGGCTTCGCCTCTTCCCATCTCCTCCCCCTGCCTTGCCAACGACTCCATTAATCCCTCCCTCCCGCGCGCAGGCTTGCGCCCGCGCTGCACTCGACCTTCTACTGTATCACACAATCGATACTCCCCTCGTCCCATTCGCCCTTCTCCCCTCCACTCTACCACTCCTTCCGGATCTCGAACGAGTACTCCAAGTCCAGGTGCACCCTTCCGTCGTCGTCGATGAACCTCTTCCGCGCCGTGTAAGCGCCGCGGGCCAGCGGCCCCGAAGGCGTCACCTCCTCCTCCGTCACGTGCACGTACGCCTCCTGCTGTGGCGCGAAAGTCCCCATCATGTCCCGTGTCTGATCCACCTGTAGCCCCGCCTTCCACACCGTGTTCATGCACGTCAACCCGGACACGATGTTGTTACGCACAGTGAACGAGTACCTCAGCGCCACCGTCGACCCCTCCTTCAGCGAGAACGTGTACCCCCGCGAGTTCGTCCCCAGCGGCAGCGGCAACTCGCTGTCCGGTCGTCCCTTCGCAATCACTCCCAGCGACAGCACGTTCACCTCCGGCTCCACAAAACCGTCTGGCGCATCCTCACTCGCCACCCCCAGCAGCTGCGCCTTCCATCGCCTCAGACTCTCGTCCTCCTTGTCCTTTTCCAGCTGCTCCTTCAACGACACCAACGGGCCCAGCTCCTTCTCGTTAAATTTCACACACGGCCCCTCTTGATCTGCTTGCGACTCGTCGTCGTCGGATTCCATGCACGACAGACTCGTCGGCAGGGACTCGCATTTCGTCAACGACTTCTCGCTCTTATTCTCCTTATCATCCTCCTGCTCCGACCCCTGCCCGTCATGTTTGTTGATGTCCTTGGAGAAGGACTTGCTGTGAGTGCGTCCAAACCACCCAGCTACAGTCTTCGACATCCTTCCACCCCGAGATTCTACTCCGGCCTCAGCCCCCTGCGATCAACCGATTCAACCTTGCGCCACCTCCACTCGACGATGACAAAACCCTGACACCGGCCTCCGATCACCTACAACTGCATCACAACAACTGGACATGGACAGGTGATGGTCTCTGGTTAGAACAGTATCTGCATGCCAAGAGCAGGAGTGTCATCGAAAGACCTGGGTGATGCCTACAGTACATGCATCTGACAGCACATTCGTTTCGAGTTACAGAACAACTCATACAATGTTAATTGACTAACAGTTCCATGACAGCAAATGGACGCGGTGCATGGTCACACTGTGCCGATCTAAATCAGACTGTTGCTTACGGATGTAATGAGATCCAATCGACTATTAGCAATAGGTTATGTAGCTGCCAACGTTTAACGCAATATTTCGGCTCTGTTTACGGTTAGATGATGATGGAATTTCGCACGTAAAAAATAAAGAATATTCCATAACCAGATGAACAACTGAGATCTCTTTATCTAACCTCGTAACCTCATAGAAGAGGTTACGACGCAGGGGATAAGAGTACGAATTCGTGTAGTATGATAATCTGAGGGGTGATGTATGAGTGTATGTTGCTAGGAAGTGGAACGGAGAAAAAGGATCAGATCAAAGGAACAGGCTGAAACTGAAATGGTTACGCATCTTAACTTACTTCTGTTCGTGTGAAATCAATGGCATCAGCAACACTTGTCGTGATGAGATCTTCAGAGCCTCTCGAAAAGTTCATAAACGCGAAGCTTTCAAACTCCTCTGACGTATTAATAGCGTCTTCTATGTCCTATAACAGAATATCGTCTTTGCTGAACCGAAATGTTTTCGGGTTTCTGCCGCCGTTCTCTATACAACGCTTCCAGACGCCCTGAAACACGAAGAGAGACATGAACAGGCACATTAAATAAGATCTCTCAACGATGTTCTTCCTCGACGGTCACTGAATGACCTCACCTTCCCATGGTCCACTGATATGTGTGACGCTTGCCAAGCGTCAATCCAAGCATCAAAAGACAGATTTAGGTCACCTGAAGCGCAGAAAGATGCAGTCGGAACAATATATCCATGTCCTTCGCAGACGAGTATATCCGCCGGAAAATTGATCTTTGCAAACTCAAACTATGAACACTACTTCCAAGACATACGGGATCAAAACATCCGAATACCAGCACACAGCTGGACAAAGGAAATAATTGTGAGGATGTCTGTTCAGTATCAGAGAGAGCTGAGCGCTTCCATCTACCTCAGCTACAAACTATCCGTCAAGTCTAAAGGTCAGAAACAAAACAACAGACTCCCCTCCCAATGTCCTACACAGATGCAAGTGAACAGTGCCGCCAATTATCCTGACGACATGGACAAGACAGACGACCAACACCACGCACTTGCTGAAATTCAGGATCTCAATCCAAACTCAACTCCACGAGCTCAACAGCATTGAAAACATATATATATATATATATATATATATATATAAATAAAATAAAAACAAACAAAAAAACATAAAACATAAAACAAAACAAAACAAAACAAGACACACGAAGAAGCGCACCCCAAGCCCGGCATCCAAACACTGAACCGCACCTCGCAACCAAATCCTCGTAGTCGTAGAAACAAAAGGTTCACTCAACACAGCACGTCACAACACGCATCTCACATATTCCCTCCTCACTTAGCGTTCGATTGGTTTCTGCAAAATTCTACAAAAACCCAGGGACCGCATTTCACAAGCAGGCACGGCGTACGCCTGGGAATTCAAATCGGCAAAGGGGGAGAAAAGGCAGGGGGTCGGAGATACTCACATGGCGGGGGTGCGGGGAAGCAGCCTCAGCGCGGAGAAAAGTGAGAAAGTTTAAAGGGGGGCGAGGGTGGCGTTCGGCATTGAGAATAGCAATTCCTGCGATCCCATGCCACGCCATGCGATGCAATGCGAAGCTTGCGCCTGAGCGCGCTGCGCGAGTAGCTCCGAATGCCCGGGCGTCGCTAGCTGCCGCGAGTGTCATAATCTACCTCTCGTCTTCGCCTGTGCGAGGCCCGGCGAGACCTAGTCCATAGATTGAGTCGAGAAATATACCCTGTGAGAACCTCGATATACCTATGTTTGGTCCGGATAAGCATGGAGAACTTAGATTAACAGACATTGTCGTAGTAATGTAGACAACAGAGCGCCAACCGCAGTTAATAATATGAGGAAATAAACGATTTGAACCAACTTAACATTAGAACAAATAAGAGTACGTATAAGTATAAATAAAAAGTTCAAATCTCTTAACATGTTAATTTTCTTATTTATCATATTGATTAATAGGGATCTAATTTTGAACATACGATCTGCAAATGTATATATGGATATTAACTATATTTTGTTGAAAACGAATAGTTCATTGGTTGGCATTTTGGACAAAACAATCTCTACTTTCATATTTTTATGTCATAGAATGAAAAATAAGAATATCTGCTATTGGTATCATTGACATTGTCTTTTTTCTGTATACCTCATGATATATTTGTTATTTTAAAAACATGAATTCATTCCTTGTGCTTCTTTAACTACAAACAGCACAAGCTCAAAATTAGTTGTATTTCTATCAATTGTATTTCTGGTATGTGTACATTCACGTACCCTGTTCGTTCAATACTTACTCAGAATATGTTTTCAAGCAAAAGCTGTTGTAATTAAAGGTTGTTATTTCAAGAGTTCATACTTTTTGTTAAAAGAATGACTATCTAATAATTTTAAACAAATAGCAGTCCTACATTACAGATTGATTTGAGAGGTCCCGTAATGGACTATGTAAATTGAACTGCTGGATTCCTTTAGTTTTAATTATTTTACTGGAAATGGAGGATAAATTGGTCGCAAATGGGCATCCTCGTGAAGGAAGCTGGTCCCCCTCAAGGTTTCAAGTAGATGAAAGTTGTGATTGTCTCCCAATTACATGGTCGCGAAATTCTAAAAACGATTGTGTAAGGGCAAGCTTGTCAATATAAAACCCACAACGTTTTGCTAGGGACCCACAGCAGTCATTTCTAAACTAAATAGATTTCAACTGAAATCAACTAAAATCAACTAAAATCCAGCATCTTTCCACGCTGACCAAGACAAGCTACAAGAATGATTTATAAGAGTGAAGAGACTAAGCAAGCTTTGTTCTTAATTGTCAAAGACAATATATTTGTTAGAATTGTTTTTACAAAGTTTACAAAGCCTAGACTAGCGTGGTGCATCATTCCTTTCTAATCCTTAACTCATTGCCTGATTTATGACAACTAGATACAATAATAACTCTTCATATTGTCACGAATCATTTTATATCCCTGTCTTTCCATTACAAAAATGATGATCAAACTGGATGATGTTGTTTAGAGCCCTATATTACACCAATCCTCTCATACTCAACCCTACAAAAGTGTACCTAACCTGTAAAGCTGACACTAGGTTTACATATTCGTGAATTCATGTAAACATTTGGAAGCTCCAGAATAAAATTCCTCAGTACGAGGGGATGACTCGGCTTCACTCACAGAAGAAGCATAATCATTAGTGTAGATAGCTTCATAAATACCAACAGTATGTTCAGTTCACACTCAACCCAACATCTAACGTCAGTTTGCTTAGGCTGACGTTGCTACAGAAACAACAAGAACCGAGTTTCCATAACATACAACATACTTACCAGCCTGAAGAAGGCCCTACTCACATATCAGACCTGAAGAGGGGAAAAAGGTTCACTCTCCAGTAACGAGTAACTGGAATAGAGAATTAGATTTTCTGTCTTCTAAATATTGGTGGCCTGATTTCAGGTTAAACTACAAATGACCAGTTGATGAAGAGGAAGGCGATGCACTCGACTGTCTCATTGTCGTCTACAACTTTCCATACTAGGGCCCGTTCGTATGTTGCAGTGCGACCTGAGCTTGACATTCGTACCCCCGCTGGAAGGGAGCAGTAACCCTGTTCCACATGTACGCACATACCAATCATTTTCACCTTTCTTTAATGGAGCAACCTATGACTCTACTTTGTAATACTGAGAATTTCATGTGGGGAGGTTCTAGTACACCGATTCTCAGCTCAAACCACATTTACAGTAGATAGGAAAAAAATATACTACAAGCCAAAGAAGAATATTTATGACGGCCGAGGAAGGCTTAACGCATTAACTTATCAAGGTTTATATTGTGCCCAGAATTCGCTAGTTGAGTAACGTAAAAACAGACCTGCTGTAAAACTTGAGTGAACGTAGCGTAAGATAATTTGCAATCACTCTCATTGAGAGTCTTGTCCCAATCCAGTTCTTGCAAGGAGCTTGTCGTGGTTTCAAACATCTCCAGACCTGATCGATTAGCAAATACAAACTCTGGCTTTCCCTGCACAAAAAGTACAAAAACATAATCAATATTATATTCATAATTCAAGCTGGTCTGCTTGGTGTGCTAATTTGAACATCTGATGCTCATCCTAACACTGCCTAGATGAACTTCTGAGCAATTGCAATTTTGTTTGCCCCGAAAAATGTCACAATCGATAGTGTAAACTTCTCCAACTACCTTCCATGCACAGCACAAGATAGCGTCCGTGTGATGCCAGAATGCTTTGAACAAAGTTTCATCTCCTCCGTTTTCTGACCTCGTGAGATCCAGACCCAAGTGCAACCTGCCCAAGACATGCCTCAAAATCAGCGGAGTCACATGTTCGGAAGTAGAATACATACTTTGCAAACTCCTTCAAAGGATATCATGAGGCGAGCCTTCGCAAAATAGACAGCGTGCATGCCAAAGTAGTAATGATGGTTTGAAAATATGCTTTTTGCATTAACACCTGTAGCTCCTAAGGACATGACGTGCTAAGGAAAGCGCGTCTGGATTAGCAGACATTTGACGGGGCGGAGCAGATCCTCGGGACGGGGCTAAAGCCATCGCTACCCGCTGAACAGATGAAACTACCGTGCGCAGATATTGACGAGCCATAACTGCACAAGCTTCGTGACTGTGCACCTCGTATGCAAATTGGAAGGCAATTGTGAGAACAGATCGCATGTGGCTCGAGGTGCCATTAGACTTTGAATCACCATTCAAACGTAAATCGCTGCCTCCTTCTAGAGTAGAGGCAAGATCAAGCGTGTGGTCAAGATCAAACTCGTCCTGCACAAACATACGCTCGCTTCAAATTTTCGAAAGAGCAAGAGCTCTCGATGAAGGAATAGTGTAGGAACAGGAAAAGATCAATATTCAAAATAAGACGATAAAATGCAGAAAATTAACCCAGCACTAAAGTGAGTAAAACGTACCAAAACGTTAGCGTCAACGGGACTAATACAGAAACCCGACGGCAGAAGTGGGATATCTTCAGTTAAAGCAACGTCCACGGGAGCGAAGATCAATTGAGCACTGGCCCCAACTGCGTTCTCGTCGATTCCGCTGCAGAGCTGATTATCACACCACTCGCAGAACATGTCAGCTTGTGTATTGGATCAACGGTTTCAAACAAGCAGATTTATTACTTGAAAACGCTGTGATAAAACAAAAACATACCTGAAGCAGGAATGAATCTCGTGAAATAACCATATGCTGCACAGAGCTGTGATCCTCCAGCTTCACAACCTCCAATATCTGGACAGCATCACAATGTTTTTAAGAACAATGCTAACATAAAATAACAAAGTCAGAATTCTGATAACTGTACGAATCCAGTAGCCAGTTTGGCTTGCTTATCTACTTAACATTAAGTCATCTACAAAATTGTAATTAATAAATATCGCATCAACCAGACAAGCTCCCAAGTTGAGTACCTCTCCATGTTCCCCAGAATTAGGCAAAGGCAAAGGCAGCTGGACATGGGACACCCCACCACCTTGAGGAGCATAACCATTGCCATTACTACGGAAGGATGTTGCCAAATTTGCATCCATGTCGTAGTCAGCCCATTCTGACCGATGTTCTCTTAAGAATTTGATCAAAATAGATGGTGGCACATTCTGCAAGATCCATTTAACTAATTAGTGATTGCACAACAAAAAAATGTCAGGTCACTATTACAGTAAACTGAAATTAGAAAAGAACCAACTAGTTAGAACTAACAATCAGTGCACATGAACTGCTAAATTCTCTATCGGACCATAACGACTTCGGTAAGAAACATAAGTCATAACGCCGTACAACCCAACATGAAGACGCATCAGCATATGAATCATATTGTAAGTAGATGAATGTAAATAAGAAATCATAATGTGAAATGGCGTACTTGTAATAGCATGGAGGCTTTTGCACAGAGTATACCCCCACCCAACGAATACAGCAGCTTGTCAGACGCAATCTGACCCTCCATAGACTGAGAAGTTGCATTGAGGATGACACTAACATCATCCAGACCATCGCTGACTGTCGAAACCCAGCCATCGTCCGCAAATCCATTGACTGCATTTTTGAAACCTCTGCATTAAAATGACAGTACCAGAGTTGTGAGATTCCACCAGTGTTTTCCACAGAAATCCCATCACTCACAGTTCTTTCCAATTTGTTTAAAAAACTCAACTTATTTTCGAAAGTCAAAGCTCACTTGGCAAGGCGCTGGCCTAATGTGCGAAGTACTGCTGGATGTTGTCCGTTCCGTGGATTTCCCTCGCCACTTTCTTCTGCTGCTAGCCGCCTTAAGTGCCGTAAGGCCTTCATTGAAAATGCCAAAAAAGAATTAGATCACTGCAAAGAAATCACCACTACCTGAAAATGCAAAGCTTCTAATATAGAACATTGAAAAAATTCCACGTAATGCAAGATCTATAAAAATAAAAATAAAAATAAACATACCGCAATAGTAGACCGCTGCGCAAGTACAGCCGGCGATTCATACAGAGGGCGTAGTACCTCTGGCACGCTCCAAGGCTGGAAAATATCCTCATTAAGAAATGCACACAATAAGAGGTTCGGGACCGCATGTTCTACGACTAGTACGTATACACATCCACGTCACTTGGAATCTTAACTGCCCCTTACTCCAATAGGAATAAAGAGTAGAATGCTCTGCGTAATAGTAAGCAGACAATCTAAATAACTTACCCCGTTGTCATAATGATCTACGACGTGAATGATACAGCCCCCTCCATCGCATGGGCGAATCAGATAGCCGCTTGGGAACATTTCTCCTCTCACAAAGGACTGAACAGGTGGCATGGAGGGTCCATTTTGCCCACCAGTTAACGACCGCTCACATATCTGCAAAGCAACGTGGGTTTATAACAATACTAAAAGAGGTACACACTGGACACCCGCACCTTAGACAAGGACTAGAAAAATATGGACACATGTTACCAATTCACACGACTCTCAAAACGAGCTCTCCAAGGACTGAAGCATGAGAGGCTTACCACCAGGTTTCCGTCCTCCAAAATCGTAGTGTATCTCAAAGTACAATAGTCCCGTGCAGGAGCCAAAGTTGTCGAGGCGTACATCTGAAATGAAATGAAGCGTGATCAGATCAAGTAAAAGTAGGAGCAAATGTGTGATTCCCTAACTTCACACAATCTTTCCAATGATAATGACCCACAGAGGAGAGGGTACCTGAGTGTACAACAATTCTATAGTCCCTCTATTTCCTGTGGGGAGGGCACCAAGAACTTCCATACGTCGACAATCTTCAAGCCAAGCTGGGCGATCTTTGAGAACTTCTGTAACTTTACCAGCATCGAGGGCCACAAGGCCGCACGCTCGAGCAGCTATTCCAACGCAACCGTGGGAAATAGCAATAATGCCAATGGCATCCGGACCAGGCTGCACAAAAACATCTCACCGTTAATTTGTTCTAAATAATGACGTATGTATTCCACTTCTGTGAATTTCAATTCGTCACCAAATTCAGAACTTGAGATAACACTGTCAATTGAAATCCCATAAGTTGATTGTGTAAAAGGTGATTTGGTCCGTCACTTATCAACATTTGAAGATTTCAAGGAGATAGCCATCAATGGCAACACGACATACCTTCATACCAGGTAACTGAATCCAATCCACTGCCGTTCCAGTGGCCTTAGCTAGGAATTCAGTAAGGGTCTCCTCCGCGGTGGCTAACAATCTGAATTATATTCACATAAAATAAAAGCGTCATTTCAGTGCTTGCAACTGCATGTTTCTGTTTAGACTCAAACCCCAGAACTGAAAGGAAAAAATGTGGGGTATCTGCTGTATATTTCTCCCGAACAGGATGATTACAATGAGGTGTCACGAACTCACCCCGCTGGACTAGTGTAGCGAGGAGAGTGTCGCGGAGTAAGATGATGAGGAAGACCACCAGTAACAGCAGAATCACAGCTAGTATCCGTGGAGGCTACACCAGCCTGCCCATGTAATTTTACACAGATACCACCTTGAGTAGAGCTCTCATCTCCACCATTCACTGCCCTTTCCTTCTTTAATAGATTCTGCAAAACCTCCACATTCCACAAAGTTAATATTTAAAATACAAATTAAACGTAGTCTCATGACTTTCTCAATTTCCTGGGAGGAAACAAATCAATCTCATGACAACTTACCTGAGATGAGAGACGATGTGTTCCATTGGTCAGGGGCAGACTCGGTAGCTGCTGCCGAAGGGAATGATTTTCAAGAGTAAGCTGCGACGCATGTTTCGCAAGACGCTCGTTTTCCTCCATTAGGAGCTTGTTGAGAGCTGTAAGCTTCGCATTGACACTGACCAACCTTGTTGCTTCCTTGCGCTGCTTCTCCCGGCATCTGAAATATTAAGGAACTTGGTTCTGAGCCAATGAACATCTGCTAAATCTAGCAGCTGAGTGAAATGCGGTCATCCAGAACCCCCAGAATAGTATTTTTTTTCTATGTCGTGTAGTTTAGCCTAGCAGAATATAATGCCCCATTGTAACTAGTGGCAACAGAAGACATCGCTCTCAAGAATGATATTCAGTGCGCAAGACATACACTGCAGTGCCACAGATTGAACTGCAAGAAGACGCCCAGCAGCCACATCAAACCGTGGCATGAAAGAAAGCATTCATACCGCCGATTTTGAAACCAGACTTTAATCTGCTTGGGTTCAATGTTCGCCAAGATAGGCGACTCCTTGATAAGCTGATGACGCCGAATGGAACTGGGTTTGGGGCACTCGTGGTACACCCGCTCCAGGGCTTCCACTTGTTCGTTGGTATAGCGTACATATTTTCCTGAAGAATCCATCGTTTGCTCCTTCCACGATTCTATGAACAAACAATTAAGATTGTCTCAGTTCAAAAGCATAAGGATGCCCCACCATCGTAACAACCCTCACTCTCAGGCTGACAAACAAACAATTGCGAACCGTGTCAAGCCTGGTCGCTGCAACACTGCTTCATCTTTATCTTCCCTGATAGCTCTTCGAATTAAGGAGTTTCCATGACCCCATTTTTAAATTTCTCTACGAGCCTAATACACAAACTAGAACTTCGCAGCAGAGGAGTTCCAAGAACTAGTGGGTGAGCGGTGAGAGTTACTACGTCCACGACAACATTTCGACTGATGGAACCAATGAGTAGACGCCATATAGCCGAAAAAACTCCTTTACAAAAGAGGAAAGGAAAAATATTAAAAAATCAAAAAAGGGTGAAAATTGTCAGATCTGAAAATCGGCCCTATGCCCCACATGATCATGCAGGTGGTATAGAACCTACAAAACCTAGCCCGTACATGGCATCGCAACATTGTAGCTCAGAGGGAAATGTTCTGAAGGTAAGGAGTTCCAACCCATGGTTTTTTCACCGAGCGGCAAGCCCCACTAGAGGAAGTCGTAATCTTGAACAGGCCGGAAATTTCTTAGAAACCTAAGATTTGCTGGACGCCTCGCTACTGAAACAAGAAACAGTGTCGCTAAGGTTAGCTTGGATGGTTTCACGGGTACCGTAGACGAACCTACCTGTCATGGTACGTGCTGAAGGTTGCAATGGAGCTGTAGTGGGGTTGCAATCACCTGCAGCTGCTGATTAAGAAGAAAACATCATCAGCTTCGATTAGCTTGTGCAGAAATTTGATTCGATTCTTCTCGTGCCACATCAATTTGCAGAATCGCTCCTCAAGGGAACTCCAACCCCGAGGCGTGCCATACTCTACTGTCATTTACTACGATTGTTGCTACAGCAACATCAAACCTATAGTTTAAAAGCTACCCCGCACCTCCTAACCTCCAGCCCATGGTATGCTTTCCGTGACGTTGGCCAGACAAGCTCTCCTCGAATTACCACGGCCACTCCCCTGCTTACACCGGGAGCCAAATTCCGATAGAGAAAGATTGCTTGCGTACAACTCATTCAAACGAAACCGCAAATCATAAAGCAAAAAGAACCGAATAAACGGCCTAATCTCTTTCTCTCTCTCGCTCTCGCTCTCTCTCTCTCTCTCTCTCTCTCTCTCGACTAGAATTCTGAAACCCCTACGTCTAGTCCCAAAGCCAAGAAAGCTTGCAACCCGCGTCTAAAGCTCCTCATCCTGGCTCTCAAGCCCCCCGTTCTCTCGACAACTCTCCAACTCTTCTACCAAAACTGCGATGCTTCAAAAGCATCACTCCTAAATCCCACCTCCAACGATGCGGCATGCAGCTAATGCCAACATAACCCAGAATGAAAATCAAGCTACGACCACCACGTGACGCCAGCTTAACGCAGCTCCCACACCAGCCTCATCAAAGGACCCACCATCACCACACACTCAAACACCATATCCACCGCCACCCCAAGCCGACCTCTCCCACTACAACGCTTGGATCCTGATGATGACCACCAACGTCCAGCTTGCACCCACCATCTACCGCCACTTGAACACTCGTCACCATCTCTCTCCTGCTCCCCTTTCCTTCAACTCGAACGTCCTAACCTCTCCACTTCCCGGCAAAATCGATCACCACAACCTCTCACCATCGCCATTCTACTATGTATGGCATGTACTCTACTCCCCCATCTTGTCACCATTTCCACATTCTTAACACCTTGTCAACTACAACTTACTCGCCATCCCCAGTCTCCGTAAGCTACAACCGATCAAACAAGAGCAAGCCAGGAGGGAACACCTCTCCGACATATGCCCGTTTCGGGTGAGCTTCGCACGAAGTCACTGCCAATTCCCGACACAAGCATGGAGAATCATGAGTGGAGTCAACCTCCGGGAAATTGCAACAAGCGAAGCATACTCCATTACAATGTAGCATCATTGATGGCGGGGCGAGATTTACTTACAGTTGCGAGTGGCATAGTGAGCGAGAGCGAGATTCAGTTCATCACTGTTCACTGCTGCGGAGCTGGGCGTGCCGTAGATAACATCCAAACGTATTGGAGTATAATAACGTGGTTTGGAGAATGGTGAGCATGGAGGAAACGGAGTCGACGACAGGAGGTGTACGAGAGACCCTTTCACGAGCGTAGCGGAGAAAAAAGCAATAGGGAAAAAAAAGTATTATAAAAAAATTATACAAAAAAAAACGCGCGGGGGGTGTCGTCGGGACAATGATGGCGGCGGCAGCAGCAACAGTGGCAGAGAATGTACGGTGGGCCAAAACAGTGGGGTTGCTGGCGCAACCATCGACTCCTTTGGCAAGAAAAATTCAAAGACACGGGCAGTTTTGTGCGCTCCTCGAAAAAGACAATGTTGACCTTCTTTTCCCATGTTGAAAGTTATACCTCTGGCATAATAGAAACAATACAGATAGGCGGTTTCCTCTTTATCCCGCTTCTTCTGCTTCCTCTTCTTCTTCGTCTTTGATTTCGGGAGTTGAATCGAGGCAAACTGAGCGCACGGGGAGTTTCGGTGCCAACAGCCTCATTACACGATCACAGCTGGTGAATGAAGTATGTGTTTTTTATTTTTATTTTTATCGTTTTGGAAAAGTTCGACATGATCAGACAAATGAGATTGGATAGGAGTGAGGGGGGTGGAGAGACGGCCGTGCGCTGGGAACCCACCACCCACACAAATGCATATACACACTTACACGCACAAACAAACGCGCAACCCAGTGTTTGATTCATTCCGCAAAACAAACGCAAACCCAAACCCAACGCCGAAGGTTGACGAAATGTGTAGGCGCCGTGTAGGATGGGGCCGATGTCGCGGTGGCACGGCATGGCTCCCATGAAACAGATTCGCCGGACCGATTCGTTTTTGTCTCCCCCTCCTCCCCTTGATTCTTCTTGCCTGCCTGCCTGCTCTCCACCAGAGCCCCCCATTCCCCGAGGGAATCCTTAACCCTAGTTCCTCCATCGCTCCCTTGCCCCGCCCTTTCGTTTTATTTGCCTCGCCTGCCCTTGACACTCATCGCGACTCCATCGAACCTCATCGCGGCGCCATTGTCGCGGCCATCGTGATAGGATAACATTGTATACATAACGTCGGAATACGATAAACCGTCAACTTAAGGTTTTTCACCTATGTCGGAGGGGTTTTTTTTATTGAAAAATAAAATTAAAAATTAAATGGCTGCAAAAATAAATAAAATAAATAAGTAAATTGAATGGCTACAGTGGTTTAATTCATGAAAATTAACAAAGTAGTTTTTGCATTTGATCCGTGAACCAAAGGCATAGACTTGAGCAAAACTGTCCATAAAACAGGTCAAACAGGTTAAACCACCACCTCCATTACATTAAACCACCAACTTTGTTTTTGTTAAGTTTGCTGATCATTGGTGGACTTAGAATCAGCTCAAAATCTTTCAACATTCTTCAAAGCGGTTTTGGGTTTGTGCAAAAGCGGTTTCTAACAAGATCTATGAGTTGGTGCAAGGACTTGACACAATCCAAGGTATTCCAATGTTAGTTACACAATCTCCTCACATTGACTGCTAAGGAAGTGACTCTTAAATCTCTCATAGAATGATTGGACTTAATTCCATTTTTTAAAAAAATGAATAGTAATCTGTGTTAATAAAAATAATACATTAGAATCATGAAAAGTACTTCTGATTGACATTAGTCTTGAAATTTGTGGTCATTCTCTGAATAGTGTTGTAAATGGAATTTAAGACAACAGCTTCAAAGTAGAGATACCAAGAGTATGCTTTCTGTTATTCTCAGATAATTTAAAATAGATGAGTACCATTTTTATATAACATTATTCAATGAAGAATAGAATGTTCCATAGAAATAGAAAATATATATCAAAAAGAAAAATATATCGAAATTGAACATGGTATTTAAATTATATCAAAGTTAATTTTTAAGAAGCTTAAATATCTAAATTCCAAGATAAGCGTTTCTCAATTCTATTAATCTGTGCGGAAAAATAATACATTGCATTACAAACACATGAACAAATATGAACTTGTGTTGTTGAATATCAAAATTGTATTTTTAAAAAATTATTTTCAAGTGTACAAGTTTGTAATTGATATTTTCAGGCATATTTTGCTACTGGATTTATTTAGTTATTTACTAACGGTAGTTGAAAATTTAAGAGTTGTACATAAATTTCAATGTAATTAAGTCTTTAGAATAAAGCAATACACTTTCCTCTTCTTTTTCTTCTTTTTTTCTTTTTCTACCATGAAATCATAAATTAGTTGTTTATCTCAATGAAGATTTCGACTGTTAGAGATTTTAAAATGTTTGAAAATTAAGATAAATTTTGATTTCTAAAAGTTAATGTGTTTTTAAGAATCGTTTGTAGTACATGCTTAATGGAAGAGAATAATTTTAATACCATTACTGTGATGATTGCCCACAAAAATCTTTAACCTTGAGTGGAGTATTTATTTATTTATTTCTCTTACATTCATATGACCACAATATTCCATTCATCATACATTTATTAAAAACAAGAAACAACAAATTTCAGCCGCACAACGTAAAGGACAGTCAAGTTTCCCTGTTAAAAAGTGATTGGATGAAAGACATTCGTTTAGAAACGAATATGGGATGGGAACAAATCATCGAGGATGGGAACCGAAAGTGTTAACATCGTTCCCAATCCTTTCCAAACAACACGCCCGTGAAAGGGAAAAGGTAAGGGGTTGTGCGACAGGAAGGTCAATACCACCTGGTAGGTAGATGACAATGCTGACCCAGCCACCCTGCTGGGCCCTCCCTGCATGTGAGGACGACCGATTAAGATGGTGGGTAGGAGCTTCCTACCACCGTGGGAGGAAGGCTTCAAGGCTGACGTCACATCAATCTGCTGACATGGACCCAGTCAATCCGCACTGCCAACGTCCTCGCGTGCCACGGCACATCGCCACCTCAGATTCTTTGTTTGCCCCGCCAAACCACTTCGCTCTCTTTGTGGGCTTTTTGTTAATGTTTGGTGTACGTGGCAGGGAGTGTATGACGTGGGGGAGGCAAAGGTGTGGAATCTTTGCCGTGCTGGCTGTTTTCTACGTCAGCCGATCGGGCGTTGATTGGATTGAGGTGGGTGAAGAATTGGTTGGCGGGTTTTGAGCTCACCATTTCAAGAGCACATGTGAAATGTTTGTTTGTTGTTTACTTTCCACAATTCTCCACTGCACTACATTTGTCCATTGATCACATCCATGTAAAGGGGATTTAGCACATGAATAGATGAAATATTGTCGCAATTATGTTGAAGCATTTTATGTTTCATAGTCTCCATACAAAACCATGTTTTGTTTAATATTCTGGCTAAGATGTGATAAAGAATCCAAACACAAATTTTAGATTTCCATTTATATTTTCACATAAATTCATTTTATAGTAGTTTCCTTAAAAACATATAATTCTCAATTACATTTGAATTATTAAGAAAATTCTATTGAAACATGGAAGTAGAATTGGTAATGTTTCAATAAAATATCCATATAATGTGGATAGTTGACAAAGATACAAACAATGTATATCTATTAGAGAAATGATAAAATCGACACCATAGTAATATATATATATATATATATATATATATATAATAAGTACATATAGGATATTGTTATTGCCACCTTAATTTTTTCTTCTATGACCACAATATATCCATTAGTCATATGTTATCTACATCCTTTGTCAAAAAGATGATTAAAATTACATTCACTTCCTATGTAATTTAATAAACTAATAAATTAATAAAAATATATGAAAAATAAAAGAAAAAGTTTTTTTGGAATAAAGTAAGGTAAAAACACATATTAAATGAATGGCAAGTTGTGGTGGTATTAGCAAATACTCTAATAGCTTAAGAACTACTATATATATATATATATATATATATATAAAACCAATACTACACAACAATATCAATATGGTGTAATTATTATTATTATTATTATTATTATTATTATTATTATTTATAATAACTTCAAAATAAAGATTTTTTAAAAAAAATATATATTTTTACATAATTTATTATTTTTAAAAAATAAAATACAAAGATAAATAATGTTAGTTTTAAAAAGTCTTTTCTTATTTGTATTTATATTTTATTGGAAGGTATCTATCTATCTCTCTCTCTCTCTCTCTCTCTCTCTCTCTATATATATATATATATATATATATATATACCTTTTTTATATTTTATTTATATATTATTAAAATAAAATTTCTTAATAATAATAAATAATAATATATTTATTATACTAATTAAAATACTTATAATAAAATAAGATTTTTTTTGGAGAATTCAAATCTTTTGTTAAATAATTAATTTTTAAAGAATATTTTAGTTTTCATTTAATTAATTATTTATTATATTAATATTTTAAAATTTTAATTTAAGATTTTATATAATAATATATTTAATTATTATTTTGATATAATATTTTTTAATTAAATAAATAAATCCAAATTTTATAATTTTTAAAGTTTAAAATAACTTCTATTGATTATTGTTATTTCCTTACATTTCTTATTGAATGGATTTTTTTTTTTTTTTTTTTAATTTCAATCTTTAAATAGGATATTATAAAAATACTATACTTAATTATTTAAAATAAATGATTCTACAAATAAAATGATGTAGCACAATCTATAAAAAATCATGTAAATTACCAAAGTTGAATATGTAATGAATAGCTTGCTTTGAAAGATAGAAATAATACAATGTGTTTAAGCAGATCAAAGTTCAAAACTACAATGAAATAATACTTGCAATGTACTTTATTCAATTGACATATTAAACATTGGTTCATTAATTTAAAGTTCTTTGAACTTAGATTTGTGACATTGACAACTTTGTTTGATTTGTAGCAATTATAATTGCATTAGAATATATTTTTAATCATTAATGATATCAATTAAAAAGATTAAAATAATTAATACACTCATAAGTCACCAAAAAAATTAGATAATTACTCAAAGATGGTATTATATTAAATCTCGGATAACTATTGCAAAAGATAAGGAAATTAGAGATTCTTAAAATAAGACTAAAAACTAAAAAATATTAATAAGAATAAAAAAGACATCTTTCTTGTCTAAAAATATAATATATAATTA